GGTTGAACGCTACCCTCTCTAGCATCACCGATGAGTCGTCATCCCTCCCTCTCCTAGTGTTTTTACACATCATGATTTTTCGGGATTCACGGTCCATGAACGACACCGTGCACCATTTGGCTTCGCGAACATTCGACCAACGACCATGATGCACAGCCATCTTCTATTTACTGGACGCTGTGACATGCTCACCGAACCGCTTCCATACTGCTTTTGGCCTGCTCTATGATCGCACTCCATAGACCACTATCGCCACCCATGAAGCGGTAAAATGTTCCATGGCCTGGACGTGGAACACCCAAGCTGCGACATATCTCCCAAGTTTGTTGATACCCGATTCCTGCTAGAGCAAAGGCTCCCACAAGCTTATGCATCACTGGAGGGGTTCGTGGTCCAGGCTTACTCGATGGCAAATCGTCCCTTACCCTACTGGTCGACCACATCTCATCCTTTGCAGGACAAGAGTGCACATCCACAGCATTCCAAAACACGCCCACGACCTCTTCCATGATGCAAGCATCATCTCACCCTGACAGCCATTTTTCTGACAGTAACCCAACGCCCGGCCACAAAAGAAGGAAACCATCACCCTCGGATCAAGGAAACATAGCATGTCCGATGGAAAGTCGTCCCAGTTTGGATGGGATTTCCACCCTTGCGGCACCCGCCTTGGGGCCGGTCCCTCTCGTGGTGCTGATCTGCAAGTACGACACGGAATGACAGAACACGGTTGCGGTGTACAGTGGCCAGAGTCGGACTCAGTTGCATGACAAAGCGGACGATACTCTAGGTGTTGCATTCCTCCTATTGATTGCGCACGCGAATATCTTAGGGTCCTCTCAAAATTGCCACCAGGATCCTAGAGCACTCACCCGTCATGAACATCGACCGCCTCGGCTGCATCGTTTGCAGATATCCCCCCATCTCCAAGACGTGCCCCCGTTTCATGGGACCCTTCTCGGACCTGCCCCATGGCACCAGATCCTTCAGCACTCTCACCCATATGCGAGCCACCCCCCCCTAGCTGCCGGATCACGACCTTCTTGCCTCGCAGTACCGAGTAACCTCCCCCCCTTGTCGGCGCATCATGGCAGCCTCCCCCCCATTGCCATCTCCCGCTGCTGTCCTCCAGTATCTGTCGCCGAACTGTCGTCCGACTCCTCCGACGTGCTCGCTCCCGCCGGCGCGGCCCCATCTACAGGAACATTGTCGCACGTTAGCACCGATGTCTGTCTCATCTCCCATTTCAACGACTTGACGCGACCACTAAGTCATCCTAAAGACATCCACACACCTGTTGCTTGATGATTTACCCATCTTGATCCTTGCGTGCGCCACCCCCATCCATTTCCGTTGACCTCCGCATACCACCCCTCCCCACCTCCTCCCAGGGTGGGAAGTCGTAATCCACACCAGCCAACTCTCTATTCCCGCGGTCCAGAATGTCATCCATCTTCGCCGCACCCCGGCCCATTCGTTTCCAGAACGTAGTGGACGAAGCCGCAAGATGGTAGTTTCACCACCTCATTGGCTGCGTGCCCATGAGGTCCTGCGTTGTGCACCAGCACAAACGAACCATTAGTTCCTTGTTTATTCCAATACACGTACCTTCACATATACTTTTTGACGAGTTGATGTACACACGTCAGCTCACCTGCATTCGCGGCAGCCTGCCGTAATCTCGCTGTTACGTTCGGGGCAGCGTGCATGTAGATTCTTAGTAGGTCACTGAGTGTGGCCAAACGCGGCCCAGGCATGAGCACGCTCAACCCCATGCACAAGTAGCAGATGGGGTGCTCGTAACGACCACTCTACATTGTGTCGGCGCACATCGTATGTTTGGCATGCCCGTGCTGCATTGCGGGTTGCCCGTCCCCCACAAGGCTCCTTGTACAGTACGAGCGCAGAAAGGGGGCAACATGTGCAGTTTGGTTCACGACATTGGTGATGGTTCTCATATTTCAACGCGACCCAGTACCACAAGGGATCATCCACTCCTTGCACAACAGGTGCGCCCATTATATTTCACCCGTCACCAACAACCCAACTGTGGGGGCTGAGGCGTGGCACCACAAATGAATGATTGCGTAGTGGGCAACCCTCATTACATTGTCAAGGCTGTTCTCGTACCCTCACTTACCGACAGTCGGTATGCACATGTATACTAGATCCCCCACGCTGCCCGCCATGTGGGCTCGTTCCGCCCCGCCTCGCGCCCAACATTCTCGACACTGTCACCACCCTTCTGCCACACACACAGAGTAGTGAAGACAAGCATAGCCCATGTGGAACATTGCTTGCCAATTTCCATGGGGATGGGTTGAATCGAGGGATAGCAACTCCTCCTTGCCAAACATGACCCTCCAATATCCCCTTTCTCCCCTCCCAATCCACATCACATGAACACTTGCTCCCACCCTGCTCCGCAGCTGGCCCCTTGCTCCGCATCTCCCACCTTGCTCTGCATCTTGCCCTATCCATCTTGCTCCCCTCCTGCAACCGCGCACCCCACAGCCTAGCTCCTCATCGCACCCCAGAGCATATCTACCGATGCTCCCTCTCGTAGGCTGCACTCTATCCAGCCTTGCTACAGTGGTCCCCCCGAGCCCTCTGAACCCTAGCTCCCCATTTCACCCCACACCCTATCCATCCATGCTCCCTTCCCTCTCCCCACTCTCTCCACCCGTTCCCCTCTCACCCCACGGCCTATCTACGCCCCACCGGCTTACGCTATACGCCCCTATTCAGCCTTACTCCCATGGTCACCTAGCGCCCTCTGTACCGTCGCTTCCTATTTTACTCCATGCACTATGCAGCGGTGCTCCCCCACTCACCCCACAGCCTATCCACAAACCGGGATGAGGCATAGCAAACCGGAAAAGGTGGGGGGGGGGGGGGGGGTTTGCTGAACAGGGAGATGTGGTGCACCTGGTTCTGTTTGCAATGCATGATCAACCCAGAAGCACAACATCATGCATAATAAACATGCAACATGCCATGCTTGAAAAGCCCAATCCCCCCAGCCACTGAATTTCAGCCCCAGCATCATGCCATGGTAGAGTTTCGCAAGCTAAACTCGGTATGAGGCAATTGGCGAGAGAGAGGGAGGGAGCATTGTATCAGGTGGGGTGGGTGAGGTGGAGACATAGGGGTGCAGAGCTGTGGTGGTAGGCTGTGTGGCTAGATCCGGATTCTTGACACTACCGCGGATTTCCAACTCCGGCCCGACATAGGGGTGCAGAGCTGTGGTGGTAGGCTGTGTGCTTAGATCCGGACTCTTGACACTGCTGGTTGGGTTTGCTTTGTCGTTGCCCGGCTGGAAAATCCATCAAATCTTGCGTGGCCTGTCCATTTTCCCAGCTTCCCCTATCTCCCCACGCCCTATCCAACATGCACCCTGCGCTCTCAACGGGTATTTTTCCAGCCGTGTTCTCCCGTTTCAATCAGCACCCTACCCACACTTGCTCCCGTTCTCACCCCACACCCACTCCACTCTTGCTCAACCGGGCATACCACGCATCCAGCATCCCTTACACTCTCACACCCCACGCCCTATCTAGCCTTGCTCCCCCTCTCACCCCGCGCCATATCCAGCATCCATTCACTTCTCACCGCACGCCCTACCCAGCCTTGCTTCCCCACTCACCCCGAACACTCTAAACTGCATTGCTACCCCTCTCACCCCCGCCCTACCCCAGCCTTGCTTCCCCGCTCACCCCACGCCCTATCCAGCCTTGCTTCCCCTCTCACCCCACGCCCTTTCCAGCCTTGCTTCCCCTCTCACCCCCATGCCCTATCCAGCCTTGCTTTCCCCACTCACGCCGACACTCTAAACTGCATTGCTTCCCCTCTCACCACCCGCCCTACCCAGCCCTGCTTCCCCTCTCAACCCACGCCCTATCCAGCCTTGCTTCCCCTCTCACCCCATGCCCTATCCAGCTTGCTTCCCCACTCACCCAACACTCTAAACTGCATTGCTTCCCCTCACCCCCCGGCCCTACCCAGCCTTGCTTCCCCGCTCACCTCACACTGTAAACTGTCTTGCTTCCCCTCTCACCCCACGCCCTACCCAGCCATATTTCCCCACTCACACCCGCGCCTTGCCCAGCCTTGCTTCCCCTCTCTCCCCACACTGTAAACTGTCTTGCGTCCCCTCTCACCCCACGCCCTATCCAGCCTTGCTTCCCTCTCACCCCACGACCTATCCAGCCTTGCTTCCCCTCTCACCCCATGCCCTATCCAGCCTTGCTTCCCCTCTCACCCCACGACCTTTCCAGCTTGCTTCCCCTCTCACCCCACGCCCTATCCAGCCTTGCTTCCCCTCTCACCCCATGCCCTATCCAGCCTTGCTTCCCCACTCACCCAACACTCTAAACTGCATTGCTTCCCTCACACCCCCCACCCTACCCAGCCTTGCTTCCCCGCTCACCTCACACTGTAAACTGTCTTGCTTCCCCTCTCACCCCACGCACTACCCAGCCATATTCCCCACTCACCGCCGCGCCCTGCCCAGCCTTGCTTCCCCTCTCTCCCCACACTGTAAACTGTCTTGCGTCCCCTCTCAACCCCACGCCCTATCCAGCCTTGCTTCCCCTCTCACCCCATGCCCTATCCAGCCTTGCTTCCCCACTCACCCAACACTCTAAACTGCATTGCTTCCCCTCACACCCCGCCCTACCCAGCCTTGCTTCCCCGCTCACCTCACACTGTAACTGTCTTGCTTCCCCTCACACCCCCCGCCCTACCCCAGCCTTGCTTCCCCGCTCACCTCACACTGTAAACTGTCTTGCTTCCCCTCTCACCCCACGCCCTACCCAGCCATATTTCCCCACTCACCCCGCGCCCTGCCCAGCCTTGCTTCCCCTCTCTCCCCACACTGTAAACTGTCTTGCGTCCCCTCTCACCCCACGCCCTATCCAGCCTTGCTTCCCCTCTCACCCCACGACCTTTCCAGCCTTGCTTCCCCTCTCACCCCACGCCCTATCCAGCCTTGCTTCCCCTCTCACCCAACACTCTAAACTGCATTGCTTCCCTCACACCCCCCCCTACCCAGCCTTGCTTCCCCGCTCACCTCACACTGTAAACTGTCTTGCTTCCCCTCTCACCCCACGCACTCCCAGCCTTGATTCCCGTCTCACCCCACGCCATATCCAGCCTTGCGTCCCTTCTCATCCCACGCCCTATCTATCCTTGCTCCCCCTCCCACCCCACGCCCTATCCAGCATCCCTTCACTTCTCACCCCGGGCCTATCCGCCTTGCTTCCCCACACCCCGCGCGCTGTCCACTCCCCTAACCACCTCCCAACCGGTCCGTATGTAGACTTGCCCCCCCTCGCACCGCCGCTCCCATTGACCATTGCTGCATCGCAAACTCACCCCGAACTCACCCACCCTTGATCCCTTTCTCGTCCCGCGTCCTAACAAACGCAGTACACTAGCCTGTCCACTCTTGCGCCACTTCCCCAACCACACCCTGTTTACCATTCCTCCCCTTCTCACCCCACGTCCTGTGTGCCCGTGCTATCCCGCCCAACATCGGCTCTATGTGGCGTGGCCATCCCTCTCAACCCAAGCGCAGAGGACCGTGGCTATTCCCCCCAACCAATGCTGTAAATAGGGTGGCAAACCCTCCCACCCCAAGCTATATTTTCGGCAGATGGATACCAGTTGCGACCCTCCTCCCGTCCCTGCGCCCTCTCCCTCTGTTCCTCCTCCTCCATCGCAGCGTGTTTCTTGCCCTCTCCCCCTATCCGCCTGTCTATCCCCTGTGATAGCACTGCTATTTTCCTCTCTCCGCCGGCCTCTCTCTCTCTCTCTCTCTCTCTCTCTCTCTCTCTCTCTCTCTCTCTCTCTCTCTCTCTCTCTCTTTCTCTCTCTCTCTCTCTCTCTCTCTTCTCTCTCTCTCTCTCTCTCTCTCTCTCTCTCTCATTCTCTCTCTCTCTCTCTCTCTCTCTCTCTCTCTCTCTCTCCTCTCTCTCTCTCTCTCTCTCTCTCTCTCTCTCTCATTCTCTCTCTCTCTCTCTCTCTCTCTCTCTCTCTCTCTCTCTCTCTCTCTCTCTCTCTCTCTCTCTCTCTCTCTCTCTCTCTCTCTCTCTCTCTCTCTCTCTCTCTCTCTCTCTCTTTTCCCGTCTTCTCTTTGCCCTCTCCGCAGTTTCGTGTTTCGCCTCGGCCTGTCGGCGTCCATCTGCCATTCCCTAATAGCGCATTTATGCTTACAAGCTTTTATTAGATGTAGTGTCAGCTAGGGCGCGGGTCCACCTCCGCCCTCTTCCGGTGGGCTAAGCCCTGGGCCGCGCGTCTTTTCTGTTCCTCCGGCGATTGCGGCACGCCGCGCCGCACACTAGCCGCACACACTTGCGATGCGGCTTTTCCGGGCGTCTTTTCTAACCTTATCCGCTCAGCCACGCTCCTGCCAGGTGGAATTGTCCAATATGGCGAGGTTACTTATGCTGCGGGAATCTGTCTGGCGCGTCTAGGTAGATACTGTTCTTGTCCCAATCTTGTCCAATGACAAGCGCGCGTAGTCTGAGTTACGCCTGGGCTATTGAGGGTGCTCCTTGCTTGTTTCTAGGGTAAGTAGCTGCTGGATGGGTACTATTAAATCATTTCGCATCGCAGTCTGATTTAGAGCTACCTCATGTGACTTTCGGCGTTTTCTCATCTTAGTCATGTAAAGTATTGGTCTGTCTCATGTCTCCTGGCAAAAATTCGCGCCACGTGTCCATTGCTGAAGCCCAAACAGAAATTTCGAGTCACGACAGAAATATACTGTCTTTTCCTGCCCACCAGTTCACTGCACTGAGTGGCGCGCGAGATCCACCTCTTCACTGTTGCACATTCGCCCAACCCACCAAACCCGTTGCGGAACACTGCCCAACCCAACCTGGGGTCACGCAACTCTCGCCTCCAGATGCCCCACTAAACAGAATACACTTTCTGGTACAACAGGTTAAAACAACGAACGTTATGATCGTTTACATGTATTAATGTAAATGTTCTCATGGCGTATTCATAGCTCTAAAAAATACGATCAGCTGAACTTAGGCACCACTTGCCTAATTTGCAGCTCTTCTACCAAGAGCCGTGAATGAAGAGGCTACAGTCGTACTGAGTTCGACTGCCCGTGCTGTTTCGTCGTCCAATGAGCGAGCGCGGATGAATCGGCATAGGTCGCAATCCGTGTGGAGCAATGACGAGACTTGGTAGTCCTCTACAGTGCCGTCGATGAAACCCTCAGCGTTGTCGCCAGGGACGACGTACGCGTTAAAGAGCTTGCTGTACACCATGGTCTGCTTCTCCCTGTAGTAACGGAAGAAAGAGAACAAGGGGAGGAAAGGAAAGCCAGTAGAGTTCAGCCAGACGCGGAGGGTAAGAGAGCACGAGTGAAAGGGTTGTACTGAAGATGACACCCTTGGAGCTGAGGAGGGGGAAAGAATTCAGGAAGCAGGAACATTAAACGCTACACTTAGCTAAATGAAGGGGATGATTGAAGAGATTGAAGCTAAGAGGTTGCAGTGAAAGGGGTTGGGGGAGGAAGGCAGAAACTTACAGTCGGCCGGCGAAGTCTGGCCGGTAAGTTTGGCCAAGCACGCCGTGGACGTTAGCCGACAGCCTGGCGCTCAGGACTTCCACCGTGAAGTGTACCAGCCCGTCTTCAATCGTTCGCATCATCTCGATTTCTGGACGAAGGGTCAGCCGTAACGAAAGGACATCTGCGACAGTAACTTCGTATTCGTCAACCAGATCACCACCCGAGGGTTTCGCACCGGCAAGCCACTTCACTTCGCCTTGCCCGTCAAACAGGTGCAGCTTTTCGCCTGGGAATCGCAGCTTCTTCACCACACCGTCGACGATTAGCGAAGAGAGGTAACCCTTGCGATATTTGGGGTCTGGGCCTTCGCGAGCCTCGAAAATAATCGAGTGGTGGCCCCAAAGGATCGCAATCTTTCGCATCCACGTCAGCGCCTTTCGCTCGCTGTCCATCCAGCGAGCCCAGCGACCACCAAAAAACGCGTTCACTTGAACGTGCGAATCCGTAATCAGCGCGAAGTTTTCGTTGGGGATGCCGCTGAAGTCGAAGCGAGACTTGTCCGCGCCGACGAAATGAGGGTCGCCGGTAACATTGCTGTCGCAAATCTTGCCGACGTAGAATCGCGACTCTGGGTGGTAATCGCCCGTGGAATCAGTGAACACGTCAATCGTGCCATCGGGATTGAAGTGTTCTAGTGTACACACGCCCTCATCGAAGCATGCGCATACACCTGCGAGAAGAAAAGGATAGACTATAGACATTAAATGCATTGAAAAGAAACTGGAATGATTCCGTTTGGGTGGGGGGGAGGGGAGAGGACGTGGGCCTATAGCGAAGTGAACAACGTGGCTGGAACTGACACCAAGAGACACCCGCCCCAGTCTTTAATAACACGTCATCTGTTGAACACGTCCAAGCAGACTGGCACTCCTGAATGGAACGACTGCTACGAGAAAAACTCGCTAGACGATATCTGCTGCCGCTCTACCTGATGCTTCTGCCCCAGATAAGCTGCTGATTCTATTCGTGCCGAATACATATGACACATGTAACTCAGATACCTTCGTACGCCTAAATCGACTCGGCTTCGCAACCGCTGCACGCACCTCCTATGTCGCACGTCTCCTCGTACTGCCAGTACGTCACAGCGTCGCTGGGGTTCTCTTTGTTGTAATCGCTGCACACCTTCCAGCAGTCGTAAAACGGGTCTGTCAATAGCGGATCCCACGCTGGGGAATCCGTGTCGTTGAACATAAACGGCATGGAGTATTTAAACATGTACTCGATATCCTCCGAATCGCTATCAGTGAACATTCCGCTAACGTGTGCTCCGGGCTTGCAGCCGAAACTAGGGCAAGCGCCGAAGGCGGAACCTTCCTGGCCGGCGTACAGCTTCTTAGAGACATCTACGGCAGTCGCGACAACGAGGCACGGTAAGAGGAATGCTATTAAGAACGTGAAAGCGCGCTGCGGCTCCATGGCGAAAGCGATTATGGCACGGGATAAAGCTCTACGTTGTCACGGGTACTGTTGATTGATGAGACTGGTGACCTAGATCTCCGAGGAAAACGAGCCAGGCATAAGTGAGGGTTGAAGGGTCGGGTGGGGTTGGGTGGGGAAGGAGTCTGGATTGGTCTGCGAATGGGAGGGAGAAGAAAGCCACTGAGTGAAGGGCCGTCAAAGAAAAGCAGTACAGTTTGCCCAAGGTCCCTTAGATCAACACGACCTGACCTGACCCCGACATGCCTCTCCCAGCGGATGGCTGTGGGTGTCACTCGGTTCCTCAGGGGCAGCGCAGGTAGGTTTCGAAATTGGCACCAGGCAGCTGGCAGGAGGAACCGAAGAAAACGATGCGATTGGGGATGGATGCCCAGACGCAGGTCGAGGACAGGCAATGTGAAACGGGTTTGTCCGGGTCAAAATGAAAAAAATCTCTTGAACCACCATCGAGGTGGGGACCACCACTTTTCTGCGCTCGTCTCACTTTCCAGGGTCCTCGGGAATTGCTTGGGTAAGTTCCAGTACGTGATGAACCAAAAGAAGTTGTGCGGGGAAAACGAATTCCTTTCCCAAACTGTGCATCAACTAGCCACCAGTGTCCTACCCACAGAAAAGGCGGGGCCTCCACTGGACGATATGATGGGACCGAATATAGTGCGACAGAGAACAGCCGTGCACTGCGACAGAGATCAGTCTTGAACAGTCTTGAACAGTCTGGTATCAGGTGGTTTTGAAGCTTCTGCTGCTGTCGTTTTTTCAAACCGCTTTTCAGTGCAGCCCACGCCCACCTGAGAACTACGTGACGAACGGCTTCGCCATAACGTGTCCGTAGTTCACAAAACAGCAAATTTTTTCCTAACACATACAAATTGCTGCAACATCAAGGGTACGGGAAGGGGCGGCTAGTCTTTTGGCGGGCTGGCTGATGTAACCAGCGGTGCAACACCATCGTACTGTGCTCTACTCGCTTCTGTCTGATGATGTGGGAGGAATTAGGCAGGCTACGATGGCCCGTTTCCAGTCACATCATAAGATGGCCAATCAGGATGTCTCCATTCTTCTACAAAAGTAAGGGTACAGAACAGATGTTTCTAAGTTGTTAGCACTAAGGGTACACTGAAGGGAGATACTTCCCAACAATTATACCGTGCGAACCCCGATATAGGAGCTGGCACACCCCCCTTCCCCCACCCACATACCACACAACCATCCCAGCAGGGATACAGTAACATGGATATCAACTGACGCTTCTGCATAACGGGTTAGTGCAAAGGAACCGCATTCAAAACTTCCCGAAATGCCACAACATCGTGCACAGTTTAGAGTTAAAACCCGCGACCAAATTTTTTCAAACGCACTGCGTATGAAGTTTTGACCCTCAGCCTGTACGAAATACGCTGGAAAATCGCGAGGGCGTTTACTCTCGCAAATTCATCGCTTGTCGTGAACCGTCAGATTTACAAACACACAGTTTGACGGATGAGATTACCTTTCGACTGACTGGGGGAAGTGCTTGGCTTACGCGCCGTCAGATGAAAATCTAGAAAAACTAACGGTTGAAAAACGCTCGTCACCTGGTGTTCCAAATTACCTTCCGCACTGAACTTGAAAGGCACCCCTGAGTGACGAGAGTCTCGTTACCCCCCCAATACACCCACGAAAACGCAACTTTCAAACGCACTGTGTTTGAAGGTCGCGTCTCGCAATTTGGGCCGCGGGCTTTAACTGACCTGCGCCCTAATGCAAGTGATTCTCAACTCAACCCCCTCTATCCTCGGATTGAGCAAATGACTTGTAGAGAATACCGATTCGCGTTTTTTGCTGACTCGGCTGTTTGATTGCTCGCTAGCAACTAGTGTAGCCGATTCGCCAGAGACGTATTTATTCAAGGTTTTCTACTCCGCCATGTTCGTCCGCAGTACCGGCGCTGGGTCGGTTATTAGGTGGCCTCGTTATTTTCTGGGAAAAACCGGCATTTTCGAGTAAGCCTCAAGTTCAGTGTATTAACAATCTCCTACGACATTTTCCCGTGGGTTGCTAACTCAGGCCAAGCCTCTTAGCTCTTCTCACATCTGCTACTATTGAATTCTGCTCTTAGGCGAAACTACTGATACCTTCTTAATCTTAACTCTTCATCCCGCCATCACCGAGCCTCAGCGCTTCGCTAAACGGTTCAGCTTCCTAATCCCGTCGCCGTGGCAGCGCAATTTCCGGCGATAGACACTTCTGTAGAACCCCCGCATTGCGGATGGCGGTTTGAAGAAGCCACGTGTCCGCTTCCCGTTGGAGAATCATGGGAGCGTGTCTGTCCACTGAATCCTCATCCAACGTTCGGAAGAAGCGTACGTCAGGCTAGGATGTTTCGCGGGTTCCGGAGGTTGGGATCATGCCTACGACTGTTACACGCGCGCGTAACTAGCTCGACGCCATGGTTCGGTTGCGGCGCGTAACCGGTTTTCCTTTCAGCATTTCCTGGTTGACTTTTGAGTCGACTCAAATGTGCCGCATTTCCTGGTTTGCCTCTCCACCTTCCCTGATTCGGCCCCCCTTTCCCCTTTTCCCCCTTTCCCCTTTTCCCCTTTCCCCTTTGCCCCTTTCCCCTTTTCCCCTTTCCCCTTTTCCCCCTTTCCCCTTTTCCCCTTTTCCCCTTCTCCTTTCCCCGTTCTCACTTTCCCCAATGCCCCCATCCCAATGCACCCCGTCGGTCTCCCTTTCCCCCTTTCTTGCTTCGGCCCCCTTTCCCCCTTTCCCCTTTCCCCGTTTTCCTTTTCCCCGATGCCCCCATCCCGCCTTCCCTTTAACACACACGCAAACCCTAACAACCACGCACCCCCCTCTCACCTCCTCCCTCTCGCCTCCCCCCTCTCGCCTCCTCCTCCTTCTCCGGTTTCGAGGCACCTCAAAGCCCAAATCCTCTCCCCCCCCCAATTGCCCCAACAACTACTCTCGCCCACTCACCTCCCCATCTCGCCTCCTCCCTCTTCTCCAGTTTTGAGGCTCCTCAAATTTTAATATTCTCCTTTCCCAAATTCCAACCTTCCCACAACATACAGGCAAACCCCAAGAAACAACAACTCTTCCCCCCCTCACCTCCTCCCTCTTTTCCGCCCCCACTAACCCCCCTTTCCTCCCCTCAGTCTTCCGCCCAACCCACCACCAAAACCAACTCCCAACCCCCTCCTCCGCCTCAGTCCCCCCATCCGCGCAAAAAATCCCCCCCTGCGCTCAAGACACTCCCCTTCCGCCAACTCGACCAGAAGCAAGCCCCCCAGGGCTCCAGGGGGGGTTCAGCCCCGCAGTCTATCAGTTGGGGGAGAGGAGGAGGGAGGGGGAGAGGGCCGGGTCGGGCGAGGGGGAAGGGGGAATGGGGGGGGAGTGGCAGCATGCATGGGGGAATGGGGGGGATGGGGGAGGAGAATTGGGGGAGGAGGGGGAGGGGGAGGAGGAGGCGGTGGAGGAGGAGGGGGGGGAGGAGGGGGGTACGGCTCCAGACGAAGATCGCCTGCCAGAATACAGTTAGGGGCTTCACACGCTAGATCTGCTTCAAATAGGTCTTTAAATGCCTCGCCTGCTAGATCGCTAGGGTCTCCCACTCGATCTGTAGGCTCGCCTGTTAATCCACACTTTCGGCCGCAGCAGCAGCATGGGCAGCAGCAGGAGGGTAATAAGTACGGGCAGGGCTTTAGAGAGCAAGAGCAGGGGAACGGGCAGAGGAACGGGCAGGTTGCGAAAAAACGTCCGCCGGGTTTCCCCCGGTCAAATTCCTCACCCGGAAAATTTCTCGACCAGCTGCCCGACGTGGTTCTTTCGGAGCTTGCCCCAGATTCTCTGCACCGATTCTCTTACGATGAGCTGGCGGCAGCAACCAATGGGTTTGCGCCAGCTCAGCTAATCGGCGAAGGGGGCTTTGGGCAGGTTTACAGGGGATGCATTAGCGCTGAAATCTTAGAGAGAGGGGAGAGAGGGGAGAGAGGGGAGAGAGGGGAGAGAGGGGAGAGAGGGGAGAGAGGGGAGAAAAGCCCACCTGGTGAATCCAGTAGAGAGGGGAGGGGAGGAGGGGGGGGAAGAGAAGGAGGGGGCATGGGACAAGGCGGGGGGATGGTGCAGGTGGCGGTTAAACAGCTAAGGGAGGAGTCGAAGCAGGGAGCCGAGGAGTTTCTGAGGGAGGTGCTGGTGCTGGGGCGCCTGGCCCACGCGCACCTGGTGCAGCTGTTGGGGTACTCCGTCGACCTGGGCGCGTTCCTGGTATACGAGTTCATGGAGGGGGGCAGCCTCGACTACGCCCTCACCGACAGTAAGCCCTGAACCCGAACCCTCAGATTTTTAACCCTGGTTTCTAGGCCGGCCCACACGCACCTGGTGCAGCTGTGGGGTTACTCGGTCAAAAATCAGTGCGAACTGGTCCATGCGCCTCAATGGGGCAGTGCAGGTGACAGAATCGATGGTTTAAAGCTGAGCCCTAGATGCATAGTCCATGCTGCCCCCCTCCGTGAACTCAAACACCAGGAGCCCTATTTCTCCCCCCGCTCCCTCCCTCCCACCCGCCTTCTTCAATCATCAGGTGCAAAGGGCGAGCTGTACTTTGACTGGTCCAAGCGCCTCAAGGTGGCGGTGGAGGTGGCAGAAGCGCCGGCCTACAGGCACCTTTCCCTTCTGCTCCCCCCATCCCTCCCCCTCGCCCATTCCAATCCCCATCAGGTGCAAAGGGCGAGCTGTACTTTGACTGGTCCATGCGCCTCAAGGTGGCGGTGGAGGTGGCAGAAGCCCTTACCTACATGCACCGGTGTAATTTCATTCACCGCGATATCAAGGCTGCTAACGTGCTGCTGAAATCGGTGAGTGCCTCAAGACTCTCATGCCGTGAGTCTGCTGCACTGCACACAAGAGTGCACTGGTAAGTGATTGCCTCTGTATAAAGCCTAGCCTACATGCACCGGCGGGAGTGGAGGTGGCAGAAGCCCTAATCTACATGCACTGATGTTATTTCATTCACCGCAATATCAAGGCTGCTAACGTGCTGCTGAAATCGGTGAGTGTCTTCTTTATGAGAGTAATATACATTCATATGGTAATATACACTACTAACTTGATTACAGACGGTCTATTTGACACTTCCCGGACCCTATCCCCTTACTCCAACCCCTCTCAGGACTGAAAATCCGTGTGATAGTAATAACGAAATCTGCAAAGTGAACTTACTATCACACTAACCCCTCTTAATACCCCAGGACTGAAAATCTTCAGAGCTGACTGGTTTTTCATGGTGCTTGTGGGTTTCCAGAAGTATTTCGAGCCCTTCAAAACAGACTAACGTCACCCGTACCTTCTCTCTTTCCTCCAACCCCTCTCCAAACACCAGGACTACTCGGCAAAGCTGACTGATTTCGGCATGGTGCGGGTGGGTCCGGGGGGTCAGCTGCGGTCTATCGTGTCAACGAGGATCATGGGCACAGAGGGATACATCGACCCCAGCTACCTAGAAACAGGTGTGTCAGCATGAAAGATCCTCTGTTTGTTGGTCAGCTGCGGTCAATCGTGTCAACGAGGGCCATGGGCACCGAGGGGTACATCGACCCGAGCCACCTAGAGACTGGTGTGTTCTTGTGTCTGCTCTGACCCACCGAGGGGCATGTGTTCTTGTGTCTGCTCTGACCCACCGAGGGGCATGTGTTCTTGTGTCTGCTCTGACCCACCGAGGGGCATGTGTTCTTGTGTCTGCTCTGACCCACCGAGGGGCATGTGTTCTTGTGTCTGCTCTGACCCACCGAGGGGCATGTGTTCTTGTGTCTGCTCTGACCCACCGAGGGGCATGTGTTCTTGTGTCTGCTCTGACCCACCGAGGGGCATGTGTTCTTGTGTCTGCTCTGACCCACCGAGGGGCATGTGTTCTTGTGTCTGCTCTGACCCACCGAGGGGCATGTGTTCTTGTGTCTGCTCTGACCCACCGAGGGGCATGTGTTCTTGTGTCTGCTCTGACCCACCGAGGGGCATGTGTTCTTGTGTCTGCTCTGACCCACCGAGGGGCATGTGTTCTTGTGTCTGCTCTGACCCACCGACATTTTTTTTTTTTTTTCTTGTGTCTGCTCTGACCCACCGAGGGGCATGTGTTCTTGTGTCTGCTCTGACCCACCGAGGGGCATGTGTTCTTGTGTCTGCTCTGACCCACCGAGGGGCATGTGTTCTTGTGTCTGCTCTGACCCACCGAGGGGCATGTGTTCTTGTGTCTGCTCTGACCCACCTAGTGACTGGTGTGTTCTTGTGTCTGCTGCCTGTAACTCCACTCGTGCCCATTCCCCCGCCTCCCACCTCTACCTTCCTTCGGGTCACCTGGGGGCCAAGAGTGACGTCTACTCCTAAGGGGCGATCCTCCTAGAGCCCAGAGAATGCCAGAGAGGGTAACAAGCTGGTAACTCTGCCCGTGCCCATCCCCCCCCCCCCCCACTCCGGCCCTCCCCCTTTCCTCAGGTCACCTGGGGGCCAAGAGTGACGTCTACTCCTAAGGGGCGATCCTCCTAGAGCCCAGAGAATGCCAGAGAGGGTAACAAGCTGGTAACTCTGCCCGTGCCCATCCCCCCCCCCCCCCACTCCGGCCCTCCCCCTTTCCTCAGGTCACCTGGGGGCCAAGAGTGACGTCTATTCCTTCGGCGTGATCCTCCTAGAGCTCCTAACTGGGCAGAGAGTGCAAGAACAGGGTAACCACCTGGTAACTGCGCGCCGGCAGCAGTTCCAGGATCTAACCCTGCCCTCGCAGCACTACGCCGACCCTGGGATGCAAGGGAGGTACCCCGAGCTGGGGGTGCGTCAGCTGGCGACGCTGGCGAAGCACTGTGTGGCGGAGGAGAGGAAGAATCGGCCGAACATGGAGACAGTTCTGCTGCAATTGAAGGAGATTAGGGACGTTCCTGTGGTGGCGGATAGAGGAAGCACGTTTTGAGGTGGGCTTAAAGGGTGGCGCTGGCAATCCCTGGCTGGCGAGGCGCTGCGTGGCCGAGGAGAGGCAGAATCGGCCGAACTTGGAGATGGTGCTGCTGCAGTTGAAGGAGATCATGGGCGTTCCTGTGGCGGCGGATGGAATACTTTCTGAGGCAGCTCATTGGGAGGTTGCGCTGGCAGTACAGCTCACTGTGTGACAGAGGAGAGGCAGAATCAGAGGGGGTTCTGCTGCAGTTGGAGACGCTGGTAACGCACTGTGTTGCAGAGTGGCGGATAGGTTGAACATGGAGATTGGTCTGCTGCAATTGCTGTATATGCCCACTACTCCGCACTGTTGGAAAGGTGGGGAAATATGTTAAATTTTATATTTGATAAATATATAATGGTAGGCTTGGACGATGTTCCTTGATTCTACTGTAGAGGGTACAACCCCCCTTGTATCCGTCTCTTCTTTTCAAACTCTCTTCTCTCTCGATATTTTCCTAGCACCTAAAACCTCTCGCCATTCATACCGCCTCTTCCTAGCTAGCTATCCTAACAAAATAGTATTGCCCTTATTTCTAAGGGTTAGGTTTGCAGCTGAAATGGGCCCAAGGCCAGGAAGCAGTGGCTGCTGTGTCATCTCAAATAAGACTGATTGGTTCTTAAAGTCAACCGGAATAGAATGAAATATATTACTCTAGACAAACAAGAAATGCACTGCCACGGAGCAACACAGTGCGAGGCCGTCCATTTGAGCCTGGCGTTTAAGTGTTACAATGAAACAGATTTATAAAATACAAAGAACCGGTAAACTTCCGCCAATGTTCTTAGAGAGCGTCAATCATGCCCTTCCTGCCGAGCATGCTGTACGACGAGCTGACGGACGTCGCCATGGCGACGGCGTTCGCGGTTTCGTCGTCGATCGCTGTACCGCGTACGAAGCGACAGTAGTTACAGTCGGACCGCATCAGCTCCGACGTCTTGTAATCCTCCCACGAGCCATCAATGAAGCCCTCAGCATTGTCACCCGGAACCACGTACGCCTTAAGCAGTTTGCTGTAGACCAGGGTCTGCTTCTCACTGCGTAATATTAGAATATCAAAGAAACAAAAACCAGAACGTCAAAAGCTGTAAGAGAACCTGAAAGAACGACGCATTTGAAATAACACAGGCATGAAATTACTCAAAAACTTACAGTCGGCCAGCGAAATCGGGGCGGTAGGTTTGGCCAAGCACGCCATGGACGTTGGCGGATAGCTGAGCGCTGACCACCTCGATCGTGAAGTGCACAAGCCCGTCGTCCTTGGTCCTCATGAGCTTGATCTCAGGCCTCAACAGGAGACGCAGCGTGATGATCTCGGCCACAGAAATCTCGTAAATGTCGACCAGATCATCGCCGACCTTCTTCCTGGCATCCACCCACTTGAGCTCGACGGACCCGTCAAAGAGATACATCTTCTCGCCGGGGAACGACAGGCTCGTCTTCTCCCCGTCGACGTAAATGGCCTGGAGATAGCCCGCACCGTACTCCGCGTCAGCTCCGGGCCGAGCCTCGAACACGACCGAGTGATGGCCCCAGAGCACCGCGATGTTGCGCATCCAAGTCATCACCTTGTTCTTCTGCCCCATCCACTCCTTCTCGACGCGTCCGCCGAAGTACGCGTTGATAGCAATGTGCGCGTCGGAGATCAGAGCGAAGTTCTCGCCGGGGTAACCGCTGAAGTCGAACCGCGACTTGTCGGCGCCGACAAAGTGGGGATCGCCGGTAACGTTGCCGTCGCAGACCTTGCCGACATAGAAGGTGGAGGGAGGCTGGTAGTCATTGGTGGAATCGAAAAAGAAGTTCATCGTGTTGTCGGGGTTGTAGTGGTTCTGAGTGCAGACGCCCTCGTCAAAGCACGAGCACACACCTGAAGGTCAAATGAACCGACAGAAAGCCACGACACAATACGGACAAGAATCAGAAATCATGGAACACGATACTAAGAGATCACGAAGAAAAAAGAAACGAAGTGCCCAGGCGAAAAAATGACGTGGGGAATGGGGCGTGATCCTCGGTGGTCCTTACCTCCAACGTCGCAGGTCTCCTCGTATTGCCAGTACTTGATCTGCGGGTGGTCGGCCTTAGCCATCTTGCAGATCTTCCAGCAGTCGAAATGCGGATGCTCGAGCAGCCTGTCCCATTCGGGCGACTCGGGATCGTCCTTCATCAGCGGCTTGGAGAACAGCCACTCGTACGAAATATCCTCGCTATCAGAGTCAGTGAAGGTTCCGTTAAAGTGCGAGCCAGGGGTACACTTGAAGGCCGGGCAGTTGCCATAGTTAGAACCCTCCTGTCCGGGATAAATCAAAGTGGAGTTAACTTTCAGTCCCGTGCCGCCGCTCGTGCTCGTGCTGCCGCCAGTTACGGTGCTGCCACCAGTATTGGAGTTACCGCCGCTGTTGGTGCTGCCGCCGCTGTTGGTGCTACCGCCGCTGTTGGTGCTGCCGCCGCTGTTTGTGCTGCCGCCGCTGTTTGTGCTGCCGCCACTGTTTGTGCTGCCGCCGCTGTTTGAGCTGCCGCCGCTGTTTGTGCTGCCACCGCTTTTTGTGCTGCCGCCGCTGTTTGTGCTGCCGCCGCTGTTTGTGCCGCCAACGGTATTGGTGCCACCGCCGCTGTTTGTGCCGCCAACGGTATTGGTGCCACCGCCGCTGTTTGTGCCGCCAACGGTATTGGTGCCACCGCCGCTGTTTGTGCCGCCAACGGTATTGGTGCCACCGCCGCTGTTGGTGCCGCCAACAGTTTTGGTTCCGCCGACGGTATTGGTTCCGCCAACCGTATTGGTTCCGCCAACCGTATTGGTGCCGCCAACCGTATTGGTGCCGCCTACCGTATTGGTTGGAACAGCGAGAGCGTACGGAACAAGGAGCGCCAAGAAGACGCAGGATACGACCAACCTACCCATCTCTAATCTCTTCCTCGAATTCCAATTTCTTTAAAGTTCGCACCAAGGGAAATCGAGGCCTACCAGAAGGGAATGTCTCTACACAGCTAACTCAACAGCTAAGGTGAATGTTGAAAGGGGGGAAGGGGAAAGAAAGTTGAGGAAGGGAGGAGGAACACGAAGCTGGGATAGACTAGGGTTGGTGTTATCGCATGTAACAGCCGTGGGAGGGGGACAAGGAGGGATTGAGGTCCACATTGGCTTGTCGTTTTCGGGGGTCGTCGTATCAATTGTGCACTTCAGGTGGTTTGTTCGTGTCATGGGGGTCGTTTGCATTCAGGTGGATGGGCAGCGAAGTCGTGAACAGCTCAAGCATCAACCATCTCACTGTGAAAACCACCTGAGCGAACTGTAACATCTACTTGGAAAATCTTCGTCGAGCTCGCGAGCGCGATATTCTTGTTGGTAGAAGCAAACGTTCCACGGCGCAGATGATTTTGCATGTGTGTCCACCAGGCCAGGAGTGCACGTTTCTTTCCAGCAACAAGGTCCAAGCCACAGCCATCATCCCATATTCCATGGTCCACCCGAGGCAACTCGAACCATCCTAGGGCACCCAAAAAGAACGCACAGTCCAACCAAATTTCTCGTCTGCAGTCACACTCGCTAAGCGACCCTGCATCAACACTTGCGGATAGACTCTGCGGTTGAGCCTCACGTAATCTCGGCTGGCCCATTTGCCCAACCACAGAAACCTGAGTGCTCACTCGGCCCCCCAGGCAACGCTGCCCTCACACCTCCAACAACCCCGCCTGAGCTCAACAGAGAAAGGTTCAGCATGGTCGAATCGATAAAACTCCGGAGGGTGTACAGGTTGTTTATGTAAACCCATGCGTTCCAAAACAAAAGCTCATAACCGCGTAGAGGATAATCATACAATTTCTTCAATCATCACTTCTTTGTGAAGCTGACTATACATTATATCTGTGAAATTGCTCGTGTTCTGGAGGTACAATAAATGAATAACGTCGAGAATTTTGCGAATATAAAACATATAACAATTTATGGGCCTACATGAGGGCTTCATATTGGATTTTGAGAGGTTGTTGGCTTAGGGTGCCCCCATCAGGAGCCCCCGTTTGTCAGGGTCGGGTTTTGGAAGTTGCAATTTTTTCCAGGGTATTTTTTTTCGAAGATTGAATGATCGTGACTGAAAATTTTCAGAGCTGAGATGATAGGGTTGAACCTTTGCGATTTTTTAGGCTGGGTAGGATTTTAACCTAGCACATTATGTTAGACAAGGCATGTTTTGTCAGGCCAAAAAAAAAAAAAAAAAAAAAAAAAAAACTTGACTCATCAAGTACATTTTTTAGGGTTTTGATCCTAAAATCGGATCGGACTTCACTGCGTACAAATTGTCATACTACCAGCGTGATTTTGGCCAAGGACCATTCACGCCCCTCACACGTGCTCCAACTTGCATCAGACTGCCTGCGTGATTTTGGCAAAGGACCAATCACGCCCCTCACATCTGCCCCAACTCGCGTTACCTGCGTCATTTTGCTAGTCACGCCCCTAACACCTGCTCCAGCTCGCGTCAAACTGCCTGCGTGATTTTGGCAAAGGACCAATCACGCCCCTCACATCTGCTCCACCTTGCGTCACCTGCGAGATTTTGGCGAAGGACAGGTCAAGCCCCTCACAGCTGCTCCAGCAGGCCTCGACTAGTCAGATAGGATTCTGTTTCAGGCTGGAAATCCGTTAAGGCTGATAATTTAGGGTGACCAAAACAAGAACATACAATATTTCAGGCCTGCTCAAATGAGAACCCCTAAAATTCAGGCCTAGGAAAAATCAAAAGCTGAAAAAACAGGACACCCCTAAAAAAACACCCTGATATTCAGCATTTCAGGGCATTTCGTCCTGACTTCTGAAGCCCTGCTAGCAAGATACGGCAATCCAGGGCAACACTACTAATCTGGCCTCTGGTGTATAAAACAAACAGCTCAGGGCAGCACTACTAGTTTGATCGCTAAGACAAGGGCCAGAAGGCCAGTTAGCAAGTGTAACAAGACAACCGGTATTGAGCAGCAAATACAAAATCGGTATAGTACAAATCAGGATACAAGCAAGGGCGAGGCAACTAGAACTAGACCAAGTTGAGTACAGAACCACTAATAACCACGAGGCCCAAGGGCCTTGGTAAAGATATCAGCAGTGTTGGCCTCTGAGGCCAACTATACTACATGGGCCTGGCCGCGCTCATGCTGCAACTCATGCAGCAGGAAGTACTGCAGTTGAATGTGGTTGACCTTGCCCTCAAGTCGAGCCTCCAGACACAAGAGGATCATGGCCTTGTAATTAGCAAACAAGACAGGGGCTGACCTAGGTCGCTCACCTAAGTCAGTGAAAAGGGACGTCAGCCAGCAGAGCTCCTGAGAGGCCATAGCACCAGCGTAGATCTCTGTCTCACAACTAGACAGTGCTACAGACGACGACCGAGTGGATCGACATGAGATGGCACCTCCACCAAGGCTGAAGCAGTAGCCCTGTGTGGACTAGAGAGTCTCCAAGTCGTCAGCCCACGACGCATCTGTATGTGAAGTGAGGACTACTGGCTCCCGTCCTCCCAGCACAAGCCCCAGTCCTGATGTACTCGCCCCATACCGCAATACCCTCTTGGCAGCCGACCAGTGCCCTGGTCGGTGCCTGTCAGTCGCCACAAAGCAAGCGAGAATACTGAGAGAGTACGCTAGATCTGGGTGAGTGCACGTCATCAGGTACATGATTCAACCCACCTACTCAACGTATGGACCACTGGGCTCGACCTGCTCACCGGAAACAGGAGCTGAGAGCTTGTGGTCCATAGGCAGGGGAGTGGGCTATGCCGACGAGAACTAAAGGCCAAACATCTGGAGGATATTCTGCACCATATGGGACTGGGAGAGCATGACCGTATGCACCGTACAATCATAAGAGATCTCCAATCCCAGACAGCGCCGCAGCTCTCCCAAGTCTGTACAAGCGGGTTGCTTGAGCAGCTCGGCCGACACCAATGCCACTGCAATTTTGTCTGGTGTAGCACAGATAAGGTCGTCTACGTACACAAATATATAGAAGGGAGTCTGACCAGCACGAACGAAGAGCGAGGGGTCAGCAGAGAACGGCAAGAACAGGAGAGGCGCGAGTGTAGGTAAGGTGAACGTCTAGGTGATGCCCTCCGCACAAGAGAACGCGCTAAGATGGCAGGAGGCGAACTCGCCACCATGCTCTGAGAAAAGTTGGAGCACGTGCAGGGAGTGTTGGGTGCAAATGACACGGAGCCATGGGAGGAGGGCATTAGGCACATCGGCCTACCACTCCAAAGGGAACACCGTGGTAAGCCACGAGAAGTCATCGACAACTACCAGGAAAATGCACTCCCTGTGAGGTCCCTAGACCAGGGCGAGGCTCCAAACGTCCATGTGCAGTGCTATAGTGGAGCAGTGGTCGGCGGAAAAGAGGAGGAGTAAAGGGTGGCGCACTGCCGGCCCTCGATGCAGGACATGCACGCGAAAGCTACGGAGGCGGGGAGGGCAGGGAGCGACATGGGGAGACCAGTGACCAGACCATGCTTTACCATATGACGCAGACGCGGAAGCGGGGGTGGGTGAGGGAGTGACAGGAGTAGGACGCATCGACCTGGGTGGACGCAACTTCTTGGGGGGACTCCGTGTGCAGTGTGAAGAGACCGGACGCTGGGTCACATTCAAATGTGGAAATCTGTATGCCCACGGCTGCGTCCGCAGTCCAGTGTGAAAGAGAGAGCCCGTCGCAGCAGGGGTCAGTGAGGAGCCTAGACTGCACACAGCAAAGGATACTAGACTACACACGAGTCAACATCACTATATTGTCAAAATGCAAAGAAAACATGGCGGAGCCTATATCTGAGCCATCTCTAAGTCCAACAGCAGGACGCCGTGGCGGATAAGGGAAGGCCAATTTGGCTGCTGCCGCCGTTGCTGCTACCGCTGAGGCTGCTATGGCTATTGTTGCTCCCCCTCCTCCTCCGCACCCGCTCCTCCGCCAGCTCCTCGGGCCTCACCAGTGCTTCCATGACCACCACAGCGCTGTGAGCGCCGAGCAGTGCGGTCGAGTGTTGTGGTTGCCGCAGCGGTCTCAGCGACAGAGGCAGAGGCGCCAAGGACAAGGAGCTGGGGGCGGAGGGCAGCCCTTAAAGACAAGGGTCGTGACCGCGCAAGTGGACTCAGCAATCACAGAAAGAAGAGGTCGATAGTGAGGGTAGTGGGGTGCAGCGCAAGAAAGGTGTCACGCATAGGAGCGAGGCGGTCAGGGAGGCGGGTGGTGAGGAAGTAAAGGGTGGGCAAGTTGGGTGGGGGGTGCGCTTGGAGCTGGACTTCAGAATAGGCCGCACTGTAGCATACCTCGAGGGAGCGCAGGTGCGGCCTATTCTGAAGTCCATTAATGAGATCCGCAACTGTGCTCATTAATGAGATCCGCAACTGTGGAGAAGGAGGCCATGTCGGGGAAGGAGAATGGGAGGAGGAGGTGGTCGAGGCTGGCAGAGAAAGAGGTTGAGTAGCGATCGCATCCCAGAACACCTGAGCTGACTCATGCGACTCGAAGTGCGCATACGCGTCAACCGGCAGGTACCGGGTGATGGCCACCAATGCAGCAGCATCAGGTCCGAGACGGAGCGAGCGGACCGGGCAGCTGCGAACACCTCACGCTGCGCTTATGTTGCCTTGGGGCCAAGGAGATCAGGGGGGGGGCAAGTGGCTCACCAATCATGTGGGCTGCCAGCGACTCGTCGTCCACACGTTGGCTCGGCAGCTGCCGGCGAAGACCAAGGAGCCATGCTGAGAAGGCCACCGCTCGTCCCTCGGCATCCAGCTGAAGTACAAACACCAACGCTTAAGGGGTTGTCATGGCGGCAAGAGGATGAAGATTCAGACCTACCCGACCAGGGGCAGGGGCCAGCAGGGGCGGCGAATGGCGGCAGGCCCGACACCCTGTAGCGGAAGAGCCAGCGGCAGGTCCAGCGACAGGGTCTGTGGGAGGTACGGCGGTAGGTCCGGCAGTAGGGCCAGTGGTGGCCGCAGAGCGGAGGGCTGCGGGTGCAGCAGCGGCGGTAGTGCTGGCTGCTGTGGCAGTTGCAGTGGCTGCAGTTGCAGCAGGGGCTGCACTGGCAGGTGCGGCGACGGCTGCGCTAGTGGCTGTAGCTGTAGCTGCAGTAGCAGCGGCAGCTACTCAGGCGGCTGTGGCGGCAGCACAGGCCGCTGCAGCCGGCAGCTGTGGCTGGCTAGTGGCAAGCAGGGGGCAGGGCACTGCGGATGGCAAGCGGCAGCTGCCGGTGGCAGCGCGAGTGGCAGCAGCAACGGCAGGCGGTTACAGGCTGCAGCAGCAGGCAGGCAACGGCAAGAGGTACTGGCATACGACAGGTAGACGGCCAGCGGAAGGCGATCAGCGGCAGGCGGCACTGGCAGGTAGTAGGCAAGCAGCCAGCGGCAGGTGGCGAGTAGCAGGAGGTAGTGGCAAGTGGTGGGCTGGCGGCAGTGGCAGGCGGCCAATGGAAGGCAGCCAGAGGCAAGCGGCCAGCAGGCAGCAGGCAAGCAGGCCACGCCGAGTGAGCGGGCCGACGGCATGCAGGGGGCCTGAGGCGAGATGTGGGAGGCAAGCAGGGCAGCGACGGGTGGGCGGGCAGATGGCGGGGCTGTAGGCTATAGGCTGCACTGGCGGCGAGGAGCAGGCAGCGCATAGCGGGCGGCGCGTGCAACGGGGAGCGTGCGCAGTGGGCAGCGCGTTCTGTGGCGGCGCTCAGCTAGAGGCGAGCAGCGAGCAGTGCGGAGCCAAGGCGGCAGGCTAGGGCTAGGGCATAGGCTAGGGGGCAAGCTAGGGTGGCAGACTAGGTTCTAACCTAGGCTAGGTGGGTAAGCTAGGGTGGGAGAGGAGTGGGGAGCACTTAGGGCGGAAGCGTGCAAACTAGGATATAACCTAGCTCTGATACCATGTTGATATGAGAGAAATGAATGTTGAAACAAGGGCAAGGACATGGTTTGTATATAGGAGTTGTAGCCTTTGTAAACTGCACCTAGCTAAGCTATAGTTCATATTCACCTAGCATATATACTATGTATGAACTCTTACTGCTAAGAATGATACTTGGACGAATAGCCTCATTGTTACAGTGACGGAAACAATTGTCCATATATAGGCCTTAAGACCACTATAATGTTTAATGGTGGTACGATTTGGGAGGGGCACATAGTGGATGTGTTCTCAACACAAAATTCCATAATAGTACATTGGATCCAACCCATACTGCAAAAGATATACAAAGAGTGCATCAAAGAGAGAGCAAACTTCAAAACTGTGTTTTTAGTACCTAGTCCACCGACCCTTGGCCTTGATCACCACTCGCACCCACCTAGGCATGTTACCTACGAGGTTAGTGCAAACCTCGGCAGGGATCCTCTAGCGTTTCTTTTCGGACCCACCATTTCGCATAAGGGGGTGGGCACTAGGAAACTTGTGAAACAATTGGGCATAGGCAAGAGTATTGTGGATGATTTTGGATTGAATGGTATCTCTGAGACTAGCCATAGTGAGGCGTGTCCAAAGATGTCATTTGCCGGTCGACCCCGACTTATCACATATCATCTTCGTCGTACCATTGTAGGGTAAAATCACAACCATGCAGCGCCACCAAATCAAACAGATGGTAAACCATGGGTACCAAGCTCAGTAATGTTGTGGGGATGTATGACATGTGCGGGAGGTGGGGTTCATATGCAAGAGTGACGGGCGTATGGACAAGCCCCTGTGTGAGGGCATTTTGCACAGCGAACTCGAATCGACCCTCGATTTCTACAACATTTCCCCCTCTCAGGTCATGTCGGTGCGGTCAATGACCCCATGCATTTGTCATGCCTTGTGCAGAAATGACATGGAGAGCATGAGTATGTAGCGTTGAAGTGGCCTTCTTCCTCATCAAACCTCAACCTCTGGGCTTACTTGAAGAGGGAGCTGGCCATGTATAAAAGGCCTCTCGTTGGAATGCAAGAGCTTTGGAAGAGTGGGAGAAGATCCATGCCGAGGTTTGCTATAATTTTATTCATAACACGCCCAGGAAGGTGTGGGCGGTGATCAACGCCAAGGGTCAGTAGACTAGGTACTCGAAACGCAGTTACAAAGTTTACACTCTCTGCTTGGAAGTCTTTGTCCGGATGCACTCTTTGTATATCTTTTGGAGTATGAGTTAGATCCAATGTACTATTATACATCTTTGTGTTGTAAACACATCCGCTATGTGCCCCTTCCAAATCGTACAATCATGAAACATTAAGGCTTGATGTATAGTGGTCTTAAAGCCTATAAACCCAAATTTATGCAAAACATACGAACAATTGTTTCCGTCCCTATAGGAGTGTTTAATGAGAGTAGCCCGGAATAGAATGTCGGATTCGGAATAACATAATGTGGTACAATGGAATGACAAAGCAAGTTATAGGAACACCGGAGCAACCCTAGCACGTGATTGAACAGGTTCGGAGAAGGCATCCGAGGACGCGATGCGCTTCGGGATGACGCGGAAATGGTTCGGTATGACGCGTTCGGGCCGAAGCTAGAACCGAGTTCGGTGTCGTATAGGGTCGGTGTACGCACTAGTGGTGTAGCGCGCTAAGGAATAAAAAATTCTTTACTCTACCCCTCGTCTAGCGAAGGTGGTCTATATTTGCGACGAGCTTGCTCGATAAATAATCTCGGACTACAGTAAGTGACTGTACTTGTACCGAGGAAACCCACGTGTCGTCCTCGCTAGTACAATTGGTCCATTGTATCAGAAAGTCAACGTGTCATCCCTGATCGCCGATTTTCACGCGATGGCTCAAGATTTTTTACGGTTCGATTAGCGTCTCTTCAACTGGTCGTAGATCCTGGACGATGGGCTGAGAGAAACGTTCGATGCGTCGGCAACAAAAGGACGAATGCGGCTGACGTGGAAGGAATTATGAATTTTCCAATCGTCGAGCTGGCGAAGTTGGGCTGTCACGGGCGTCAGGAACTTGATAATTTTGAATGGTCCACAATAGGGGGACATAACTTTGGCGGTATCTGCAGGCATATATTTTTGTGGTCGAGAGGAGGAATAGTTTTCTTGCAGTCAGAGCAATATCTCGTCTTTGGCGGTCGGCGTATTAGCGAGCAGTGGCATTGGCTTTTCCGAATAAACTTGATGGCTTTCGTGCGGGTGGTTTGAAGGTTTTCGACGAACTTGACTTTCGATGTTGGTAGAGACGGGTACTGTCGGGTCCATCCCATAATTTAGGGGAAATGGTGAGTGATTCGTCGTGATGGAGGGTGCGCTGTTGTAGGAGAATTCCAGCATGGGCAGCCAATCTTCCCGGTTGCGGATATTTGGGCAGTTCGTGCGAGTCAGTTGCTCCATAGTCTGATTTGCCCTTTTTGTTGGAGTGTCGGTTACTGGATGATAGGCGGAGGAGAACTGTAGGCGTGTGCCGTATCGGTTCCACATGTCTTGCCAAAATCGTGAGGTGAATCGCCGCACGGATAGCGTGCAGGCGAACGACTATAGAGATGAACAGGCGAGCAGTTTCTTGGGCTGTGATCGTGGCCGGCTGATGTGACGATTTCGTGGTCTAGCAGATCAGACACGCGCCCACATATCTCTGCACGCTCGAAATCATGTCCGGCCAGTAATAAAACCGGCAGTGCCTTTAGCGTCTTGTTAAATGTGAAATGTCCCGATAAGTTCAATATCGTGGACTTCTTGAATTAATAATTCGCGAAGTAGACAAGAGCTCAGAACCCGACTTCTTTCTACTCTTGCTTTTACGTAAGGGGAGCCCTTTGCAATCGTGACCTGCTGGTGGCCATTGTTTACGAAAAGGGGATCAGTCAAGTATCCGTGGGTAAATAGTCCGCTTAACAACGCGTTCGTCTGGGCGACTAGTACAGCGGCGGTTTGGGTCGGCGGCTGGAGAGGGCGTCCACGATGTTGTTGGCACCCTTCTTGTATGTGATTAGGTACGTGAAGTTCGACTCCAAATAATCCAACCAGCGAATCAACCGTGGGTTGAGATTCGGCTGCGCTCGCAGATACCGTAGGGATTTGTGATTTGCTCGTAAAGTTAATCCGGCTCCAGTCAGGTAGCATCGCCAGATCTTGAACGCGTGCATGGTCGTGTACGGGATAATTTCGTTTGGCCGCCTGTCACTTTCGCGACTCATAAGCGATTGGCTGAAGGTCTTCGCCAAAATCCTGTAGCTGAATTGCTCCAATTGCGATGTCACTTGCGTCTGTCACGACCTCGAATGGTGGTTCTGGGTCAGCAATTCAAAGTACGGGTGGTGAGATTAAAACATCTTTACTCCATCAAAGGCAGCTTGCTGCTTCTCCCTCCACTGATAATCAGCGCCCTTTTGAAGTAGGTTAGTTAGTGCCCTAGTTAATCCCCCCATGTTGGGATAAACCGGCGCACATAATTGACGAACCCCAATAACGATTGCAGCCCCTGGAGGTTGATCGGCGACTTCCATTCTTGGTTTGCCCGATTTTTTCGGAGGTCGATTTGCACGCTCCCCGTCGAAATAAAGTGCCCCAAAATCTCCCGTTCGGGTTTTAAAAACTCGCACTTGCAGCCTTTGATAACACAATTCTGCTGCAGGCGTTGATAAAGCGCTTCCAGGTCCTTTAGGTGCTGCTCCCGTTTCGTGCTGTCAATCAACCTGGTGTCCAAATAAATAATCACACATTTATCGAGTATGTCTCGAAATACCCCGTTCATCGTCAGCTGGAACGTTGAGGGGGCATTCGTTAACCCGAACGGCATGACGGTGTATTCGTAACTTATGTAGCAAGTACAAAACACGGTCTTTGGACAGTCGTCAACGAAGACTCGAATCTGATGGTAATCGTTGCAAAGGACGATCTTTGAAAAATAGCGAGCGCCTCGCAGCTGGTTGATCCGTTCGTCCGAACGCGAGATTGGTTAGTGAGATTTTATTGTAACTCGATTAAGGGGCGATAATCAATGGACATGCGAAGGCCCCATCTTTCTTGGGTGCGAACAGGATTGGGGCGGCGAATGGGGACGTGCTCGGGCAAACGAACCCTTTTGCCCGCAAGTAGTGCAGCTGGTCCTGTAAATCCTGGAGCTCAGGTTGTGTCAGCCGCCACTGTGTTCGATCCGATGGTCCCGAGGACATTCCGGTCAGGGTTCCTGCCAACTTATAGGGTAGTCTGAGAATCAGACGGGGTACGAAAGTTTTGTCTGACCACCATATGAGGCGTTTGGCTTGGTCTTAACTTTCAGACAAAGTATGCAACCTTCTCTGTGTTTGCAGATGAAATTTGCCTACTGAAAATCAAGCAGCTCATCCTCCAGGCTTTGACTTAAGCACATGAAATATTTGACGTGTTCTAGACATCACTACTCGTAATAAGATTCCTAGGTCAGCAGCTACAGCATTACTAACATCCTACAGTAGCTTCTCCTAACTCTACCAAAGAGTTTGGCTGGTTGCTAACATCCTACAAGCTCACTAGAGCTTCCAGTACCACTGCACAGCCAGCTAGCATTAACCCTACTTAGACTCACTGCCGCTGCTGCATTCTTGCTCATCCTCCTCACAGTCAGACTCACAAAATTGCTCTGCCCTTGCCCTTCCTCTTCCATACAGTGCCTACTGCACCATCCCCATCAAACATCCGTGCCACCTGTGCTGCTGCTAGTGCCTCTGCTTGTCGTCTTGCTGCTGCTGCTACCTTCAGTGCTGTTCTTGCTGCCTTGAATGCCGCTGACCGCTTCTGCCTCTTCGTCGAACGTGAACCCTGCCCCATCACTACCTCCCTCGCGAGCCACCTCTTCTTGACCCCACTCCACTTCGCCACCATGCAGTCCCACTCCATGTCGTAGTCGAGGAGCGACATGGTCATCATATCACCGAGCTTTGCATCGCACAGGTTGCCGCGCAACCAACTCTTAATGACATGGCGGTGCTCGAACGGCAGCACTGCCACTACTATCCAGATGGTGAAGATATCCGGGTAGGGCGTCTTCCAGTCGGGAGTGGAGAGCATGTTCTTCAAGCTTGCATGAAAGTCGAGGTCATCCTGGTGAGTAGACATGATGGTGGTGAAGCTATTCAGCTCCTTTTTGCCTTCCCCTAGTGGACACCTCCAGGACAGGGGAGAAAGGAGGGTGTTTAGTAGACGGTAGACCGAGTTGAAGTAAAGACACGTCATGAACAAGGTAGAGAAAGACTTGAGCCACAAGCATGCTTAAATACGACAATCACCTGGCAGCGTGTCGGGAGCAGAGGAGTCGCGCTTCCACAGGTTATGGAGAGCCTGCAACCACGCCACAAACTTCCGCTCTTGCTTTGCCGCCGTCCGGGGATAGAGACTCTGCTTGAACAGTCGCGTGCCGTTCAACGACGCCAGGCCAGGAAGTCGGATCTGCAACTTGCTGATAATGGACAGCACCACCACCGTCGCCAGCTCCTGCAGCGAGTCGATGTTCCCGCCTGTCTATTGCTCTTCGATATCGGCAGTCTGCAACTCGTACGTGTGAGTCGTCAGGGTGCCATTCGCATCCATGCCGCTAATGGGGATGTCGTCTCCCGTAGCTACCGGGTTTAGGAATTCGAAGAAATCTCATTCTGAGGGGCCGAAGCGGGTGTCGTAGTTGACATAGCGAGCCCGTAGCATCACGATGGTGTTGTCCACCATCCTAAGCACCTGGGTGACATCGACCTGCAAAGGGGCGAGTATAGGATTGGAAACGGAGAATTAGAAAATGCTGAAAACGGTTAAATGGTAACCTCACTTGCCACCGCTGGAACTTCATATTAAGGGCGTTGAGTTCCTTCAAAACGTCAGCAAGGAAATACAAGAGAAAGTGGAACTTCATGGTTATAACGAGCGCATACATAAGAGAATCATACTCCCTTAGAAGAAGCACTACTGAAGGGAAAACCTCAACCAGACGCTGGATCGCCTCACCCCGAGACAACCAGCGGATGTTGTGAATCCCTAGCATCTCGAGGTTCGTCTCGGTGACCACCTCCTGCAACTCTTTGAACCCGGAATGGACGACAATCGACCGGCCAAGAATGTCGGCCAAGGATCGTACGACTTTATCGACCATCCCCAAGATAGGGAACTCTGCTGCCGCATCCTTGGCAGCGAGAGCTTCCCTGCACACATAGCAGATGAAGCTGGTCAGAATCTGGGCAGAGACAACCATAAGGCAAAACCGATGTGGGCCACAACTTACGTATGAGCAACACAGTAGCATGACACGAGGTGAGGAATATGAGGGCGAAGCCGTGCAACAAGCACGTTTTGGGCTCACGTCATCACACTCGCTCCATCAGTGCTTATGCCACAGATGCGGTTGAGGTCGGCGCCTTGTCCCTCCAGGTGTGTCAGCAGGACGGCTTGAAGTGATGCGGCGTCGCACTTCTCGACCGTCAGGTGAGCGAAGAACTCAGTCACGACCGTCGTGTCACGCAGGAACGTTAGATATACTATCATATGCTTGCCCCAACGCCTGTCGGTGCTCTCGTCAAGCTGGATGCCAAGAAACAGGCTAGCCTTGATGTGGGTCAGCTGCTTCGAGCGCAGGTAGCCGACCATGTTCTCAATGAGTTGGTTGAAGCCATACCTACACACAAATAGAGGTTAACGCACTACTTACTTGCTAGACTTTCCGTGTCCAACTCCTAAATACAAAAAACGGTGGCATACAGAAAGGTCATGAGAACCCTGCACAAACAAGGCGCCTCGCGGGATTGACAACACTTACTCGCTTTGGTAGGTTCCACATTCTTTCTGTGGCAGTTCAGGAGTGCCTTGCTCCGCCATGAACTGCACTAGTGATACGAAAAGGAGAACAGAAGCGTCCGACTTGCAGATGAAGTGGACGATCGCCATCAGCCGCTTCAGTCGCTTGGATTCCGCTTCAGTCGCTTGGTCTGCTGCTTCGCCTTCTTGCCGTCAAGTTGCAGCTTACGCGCCATCGTCGCCTCGTGCTTTTGGCTGTGCTGATGCTCCGCATGGTCTGCTTTTGAATATTGATCCCGCCCTCTCCATTGCGCCCGTACTGGTAGTCAGGGTCGTCACCGTGCACCATGCAGACTGTGCACTTCATGCAAGGACGCCCCTCGGAGGATTCCGAGATGAAGAGCCACGGAAAATGGCGCTGCCACTGCTCGTCCGCCTTTGCCTGAAACTCTGCGACTGTTAAGGGAAACGGACCTTCGTCGTCCGACGGTGTGGATGGCGCGGGATCAGTACGAGCCTACTGCTCGCCGAGGCGGATGGAGGGCGTGGAGGCAGATGAGGCAGGCCTACCAAAGGTAAGCTTGCACTACTGGTATCGCACCCTTCCAGGCTTGCGCACAGGAAGCACGGGCCCTCCCGAGACGCGAGCGGACAGGCCGACGGAAATGGCAGATGCGACATACTGTGACGGGCTGGTAGAACGCCTTGACTGGCTGGTAGGAGGCCCAGACGAGCTGCTAGGAGACCTTGATGGGCTACTAGGACGCTCAGACGTAGGGGGCGCTGTACCCTCAGGCACGAATGTGATCCACGGTTATGTGTCTAGCGGAGGTAAAGGGGACGGTCGGGTGGATACAGTTGATGCGGCGCGTGCATGTGCCGACGCCACAGTGGTAGCACGACCAGTAAGAAGGTCGATGCCTAATAGCCTGGGGCGAATGGATACTACATGCTCCTCGACAAGGGAATGTACCGCTGGCTTTGCAGAACCAGCGGCAACAGCCATGAGACCTATTCGTCGGGCAACAACAAGACTACCCTTGCGACTCTGCTGAGAGGACGACTAGGAGGAACGAGGCAGGAGGGAAGGCATCTCGTGTAGAAAAGTGGAACCAGAGGGTGACGGGACAGATGTGGAGCTACGAGAGCTTTGCGCTGCCTTTACGCAAGGGCGCCTTGGCACCTTGCAGGGGACGGTGCCTGATTCAGCACGAAACTTATGTCGCGCTGGCAGGCGTCGATGGTGGCTTCCCTACAGCGCAGGCAATGCGTTGGCGGTATGCTGCACGCAAATCATGCCTTTGAGCTACCAGCAAGCCAGGTTTTGCACATAGCGACAGATTGATAGCAGCATGTGAATCAAGCCACTGTAAATCTAATACGAAATGTATGGCGGTAATGAGAGGCGACGCGGTGACTTTATTGCGCGTGCGATAGTTTCCTAGGACCAGATGGCACAGGTGGCCCAGTGGGCACATGGGCCGGTGGGAGGGTGGGGAATTGGGAAGAGTTGTCGGTGTCAGACGGTTGCGCCATCTGAAAATTTATACGACTGCCTACACTTAGTCTGAGAATTCAAACGGATTTACAGTATATAACGAAGATGGTCGTTTAGATGAAAAATAAATGGTTGTAAAAAAATCAGATGACACGGGAAATGTGAGTCTGATTCTCAGATGAACAGACGGATTTGGCTTGCTAACGGGAACCCTGGTTCCGGTTGCAATCCCGGTAGAAGTTCGTCCGGGAAAATAATTGGGAACTGACGAATCAGTTCTGCCAGATCCTCGGGGACTGCTGCATAGAGTTTGTCGATGTCGGCCGGTTGATTGTCGTCCGTCGATTCCTTCAGATGGGCGGCGTACAGATCTGCACCTTTCTCGACCACGCATATTAGTATGATGGCGTTGACGCGCGTCATTATCAGCTGTTCCACTCGGCAGCTCGGAAGTTTCTGCCAACAATTCGCACACGTCAGTGTGCACTCGCTTGTCGTCCAATCAATCTTCCAATTGTGTCGCCAAAGCCAATCTCGTCCCAGTAGCACATTGTTGCCATCGAGCGTCGTCGCTAGCATCGGCGCGCTGAAACCGAAATTGTCACCACACTTTAAGCAAACTGTTTGCACTCGATCGCGTATCGCCAGCGGGGTGTCGTCGACTAATCGACCATCGATCTCGGGCAGACACCACTCAAAGGGTAAATTTACCCAATCAGGCCAAGGCTCGCGCCAACATTGATGAAGATTTTTTACTTTTGTTTTCTGTTAACCCTTCCTTCTGCCTGCACAGAGTGATCCACATGTTCATCCCCGTTGATCGTCCAAGAGCAGTCGGTAGCATGTACCAGTACCACTATCCGATGGGGATGTCGTTACTTGGGCGATGCAGCCGCGCTAATAGGGGGCTCGTCTGCTACAGATGA